GGAAAGTGTGTGGGGAGATTATGGGTGTGGGGAGATTATGGGGTGTGTGGGGAGATTATAGTGTGAGAGGGTGTAGAAGAGTTGTGTGTGGGAGACTATGAGGGTGTGTGGGGAGATTATGGGGTGTGGGGGAGATTATGTGGGGTAGGGGAGATTATGGGGTGTGTGGGGGGAGATTGTGTGGGGTGTAGGGAGATTATGGGTGGGGAAGGTTGGAGATTATGGGTGTGTGGAGAGAGTATGGGGGTTTGTGGGAAGTTTATGGGGTGTGTGAGATTATGGGGTGTGGGGGTATTATGTGTAGGAAGATTGTGGTATGGGGAGATTATGGGGAAACGTAGGATATTGTGGGTGTGGGGAGATTGGGGTGTGTGGAGATATTGTAAGTGGAGATTAGTGTGTGATGGGTGTGTGGGAAGTTCATGGGGTGTGTGGAGATTATGGGGTGAGTTTGTGATGTGGGGATATTATGGGGTGTGGGATTTTAAGGGTATTGGGGAGATTATGATATAGAGATGAATAATTATAGAATAATCGAAGGCGTCAGCGAGCGCCAAGTCAGTGGGCTCTTTCTTCTCAACAGCGTTCAGCAAGGCCGGGGCCAGCGTGAAGGAGGCGGGCTCTAAGATCAAGGAGAGCGTCGAGAAGAACGTGAGTACACTGCTACACTCTTGGTGATCATTAAAAATACACAACAGAATTATGGCTGCGTCTTCATTGTTCTTTTGTTGGAATTAAGAGTACTTGTGGGGCCTGAGTCCCCTCAAGTACATTTTGAGACCGAAAATTGTTACGTAACTTTGTAAATCTCTTCCTAGTATGAACGGGGATATTATCGGAGCCCCATCCTAGGTTAAGAAAATATTGGCCTGGATACATTTTATTCTGTAGGATGAACAAAGACTTACATGAAAGGCGTCTCAGTAACCGTATTTCATTATAAAGAAAGGGAAGGCTGTTCTCCCAGGATCAAGGGATGGGATGGGACGCTGCTGCCTGGAAAAATATGTTTCTGCCAGATTCGGTTAGTCTGCCAGTCAGTCGATAAGTCATTAATTTTGTTAGTCAGTAAGTCAAACAGTAATTCAATACGTCGGTCAGTCAGTCAGTTTGTCAGTCAAAGAGTCGTTCATTCATCCACTCAGTAATTCAGCATTGGTCAGTTAATCAGTCAGTCACGAAAATCATTGATGAAGACAGTTAGAAAGTCAGTCATAAAGGAAACCGGTCAGTAAGTCGTTTGACAACACCAGTACAGTACTACACGTGTTATCAAAGAGGGATCCGAGAGGGTCGGACGAGGGAACCACTGGCCAAGCTCCCAAAACCCCCTGGTGAACCCTCGGGGGAGCAATAGCAGGTGACGCAGTGCAGCGATTCTGATAGATTTGTAATATAATTATTCCTCGTAAATAAAGATGTAAGAATGTAGGTAACTGGTCGACTTGAGCCAAAACACCGAAATAACGTCCAAATGATATTATCTTGTATTAAGCGAACGTACAGAAATGATCCAGGTGGCGCCACACCATATTGGGCTTCCTGTACGATAACCCTATTTGTGTGTTCCTCTTCTTCCATCGTGTTAAGGATTATATGCCTATTATTTTATGGTGTTGGGTTATATTATGAAAGATCTGAGGTGTAGTAATAAAATAATCATTGGGTTGGGTATGACTGTTTTATTTTATTTGATGTGCTGTGTGTGTGTGTGTGTGTGTGTGTGTGTGTGTGTGTGTGTGGTGTGTGTGTGTGTGTATACGTCTGGCAGGTCTGTAGGGGGTGTTCACGGCGAGGGTAAATCCTTTTGCACTGCACACAAAAGAAGGAGGGACCGAGGGTTGTATCAGTGAGTCAGTAAGGGAAGGAAGTAATGGAGCTGAATAACATCGAACGTGTCCTTTATATATTTATATATTTTTCTCGTAGGATGAAGAGTGTCAGGTCCACACACGCCCCTTGTACTTCTGTTTTTCCTGGGGTAAACAAATGACTTTATCAGAGGGACCGGCACGCCATTACTCTTTACTGGTGACTCTGTGCCTGGGTGAGGGGGTGTGCGGGCAGGTCGATGTGTATAGGTCACTCACTATTGACTTGGATAAAGAGGGCAGGGTATTGTTTTCGGCCCTTTCTGTCTGTCTGTCTGTCTGTCCCCCGAAATAACTCGAGAACGGGCTTGCGGATCTGCACCACACATGACACAAGGTCCACATGATAAACTGTTGGCTCACGTGATAAAACAGGTATTTTGGGGGTTAAAGAAAACGATGACGTGAGACACACCTCAGCGGTGACTACAGTAATTTATAGTAACTGGTCACTAGTTCGTATTTACCCTACCATGGTAACGGTTTAGCAGGGTTTGTATTTGTTCTTTTATTATTATTATTATTATTATTATTATTATTATTATTATTATTATTATTATTATTGTTATTGTTATTATATATTATTATTATTATTATTATTATTATTATTATTATTATTATTATTATTATTATTATTATTATTATTATTATTATTTCTACAACTACTAAAACTACTAATACAGAACTGCTACCATTGTCATTATTCGTATTAGTGCTATCATTACTATCATCATCATCATCATCATTATAATTATTATTATTCTATATTTGTCGTAGCACTGGTATAAATAACACAATTATATCCGTTAGAAGTTTAACACGAAGCTCTGTGTGTGTGCCATTATAAGGAAGGAATATTTTATATCAATATAAAAGCTTAATTTAACACTTTTGGGGCTAATTCTGTATTCATCGTATTTATTTGTAGTATACAACATTGATAACAAGAGAGAGAGAGAGAGAGAGAGGCTTAAATGTCACTTCACGAAGCCGAAATAACTATTGCATGTAAATAATAATAATAATAATAATAATAATAATAATAATAATAATAATAATAATAATAATAAACGGTTTATTAATAGAGTTGCAGCCGGTGGCTGAAAATACAAAACTTTATTTAGACATAACAAATACATTCATACATTTCAAGGAACTGTTTATTATTTTAACAATAGATGGGATGGTGGTGTTCTTATATCTATCAGTGGGCTGTTATGGGCTGAATTTTGTTGTAGTGGCGACCTGTGGGGATCGGTGGCAGTAGGTGGCGATGACGGGGATGGTGCAGTAGTCCACTGCCAAATCCTGCTAGTGCGTGGTGGTGGAGGTCACTGAGGGATGGCATTTCCAGGTGGAGAGGTTGTTGTAGCCTGAGTAGTCTGCACGAATGATTCTGCAGGCCCTTTTCTGTACCTCCTCTAGCTGACGTTGTTGGGTGGAGTTGAAAGAACCAGGCTGGTGACTCATACGTTAATTTGGGAGAATAAATGCGTTGTAGATAGTCCCCAGCTCTGGCGTGCGCCCAAGTGACCTAAGTCGTCATAGCATGTTGAGTCAGTACAGAGGCCCTTGACTGTGTTATTTACATGGGCCTTCCAGTGGTGTGGTCTATAGTTACACCGAGACTGCACTAACCGGAGAGGATGGGCACCGCTGGAGCTTGCACTGGAGTGGTGGCGGTATTGAAGTGCATGACTACGGTTTTGTGTGATTGATGGTGACCTGTTCTCCGTAGTCCATGCCTGTAGCCTGTCCAGGTGCCTTTGTAGCGATGAGTAGTCTGGTGCGGTGTTGTCCACTGTAACCCCCCACAGTGCAGTCATCCACGTACTCCACCTTGAGGAGTGTACGATAGAGCGTCGTTGATCAGGATTAGAAGCACAGTGGTCCCATCTTGGTCCCTTGGGAACACCGCAGGCGAGGTGTTGTGGAGAGCTGGTACCACTGCCTGACGACGCTCACTCAGGAAATCAGTGAGCCATGAGACCAGGTTGGCAGCCCTAGTGCAATGGCCATGTGTGAGAGAGAGAGAGAGAGAGAGAGAGAGAGAGAGAGAGAGAGTCACTCCAAGGCCTAAAGTAACTGTTGTATGACCTTCAGTGTGTCAGAACACCACCTGGTTTAAGTCAAGCTGGTTTACTTTTCTTCATATTGTGGATTTATGTTTCTGATTTTTCTTTTTTTTTGTCTCGTCTTCACATCTCATTTTTTATGTGTTCTTCCTCTCCTCCTCTTTTGCTTTTGTATCTTCTCATTCCTTCTTCCTTTTTTTTACTGTATCCGTTTTCTCCTCCCTTCCACCACCCTTCTGCAAACTCACCTACTCTGAAAGTGAAAAAAAACAGAAAAATGATTTTCAAGTGTGTGTGTGTCCGTCCGTCCGTCCGTCCGTCCGTCCTCTTGACAACCAGCAATGCCTCTCCTTCACCCTCCCTGTATATTAGTGGTCATTTGCATAAGGCGGAGAGACAACGCGGTGGTCACCCTCGCCTGGGTTACATAACACTCTGGTTTCGTCCTTGCCGTGGTGGCGTCCTTACCGGTGGTGTCCTGCCGTGGTGGTGTCCTTGCTGTGATGTCGTCCTTACCGTGGTGGCGTCCTGCCTTGATGGTGTCCTTGTCGTGGTGGCGTCCCTGCCATGATGGCGTTCACTGGTGGCGTCCTGCCGTGGTGGCGTCCTTACCGTGGTGGTGTCCCGTGATGTCGTCCTTACCGTGGTGGCGTCCCGTGGTGGTGTCCTTGCTGTGATGTCGTCCTGCCGTGGTGGCGTCCTTACCGTGGTGGTGTCCTTGCTGTGATGTCGTCCTTGCCGGTGGCGGCCTTACCGTGGTGGTGTCCTGCTGTGATGTCGTCCCATGCCGTGGTGTCCTTAGTACCGTGGTGTCCTGCTGTGATGTCCTACCGTGGTGGCGTCCTTACCGTGGTGGCGTCCCACCGTGGTGGCGTCCTTCATGATGGCGTCTTTACCGTGGTGGCGTCCTGCCGTGATGGCGTCCTTACCGTAGTGGCGTTCTTGTCGTGGTGGCGTCCTTGCCGTGATGGCGTCCTTATTGTGGTGGCGTCCTTGTCGTGGTGGCGTCTTATGATGGTGTCCTTGCCGTGATGGCGTCCTTGTGATGGCGTCCTTATTGTGGTGGCGTCCGCCGTGATGGCGTCCTTATTGTGGTGGCGTCCTTGCCGTGATGGCGTCCTTCATTGTGGTGGCGTCCTTGTCGTGGTGGCGTCCTCCAGATGGCGTCTTTACCGTGGTGGCGTCCTGCCATGATGGCGTCCTGCCATGGTAGTCCTGCCGTGATGGCGTCCTTGCCGTGATGGCGTCCTATTGTGTGGTCGTGGTGGCGTCCTGATGATGCCTTGCCGTGATGGCGTCCTTGCCGTGATGGCGTCCTTATTGTGGTGGCGTCCTTGTCGTGGTGGCGTCCTTGCCATGATGGTGTCCTTGCCGTGATGGCGTCCTTGCGTGATGGCGTCCTTTGTGGTGGCGTCCTTGTCGTGGTGGCGTCCCGCCATGATGGTGTCCTTGCCGTGATGGCGTCCTTGCGTCCTGTGGTGGCGTCCTTGCCGTGATGGCGTGTGGTGGCGTCCTTGTCGTGGTGGCGTCCGCGATGGTGTCCTTGCCGTGATGGCGTCCTTGCCGTGATGGCGTCCTTATTGTGGTGGCGTCCTTGCCATGGTGGCGTCCTTGCCGTGATGGCGTCCTTGCCGTGATGGCGTCCTTGGTGATGGCGTCCTTTGGTGGCGTCCGCCGTGATGGCGTCCTTATTGTGGTGGCGTCCTTGTCGTGGTGGCGTCCTCCTTGCCGTGATGGCGTCCTTGCCGTGATGGCGTCCTCGTGCCATGATGGCGTCCTTGCCGTGATGGCGTCCCGCGTCCTTGTCGTGGTGGCGTCCTTGCCGTGATGGCGTCCTTGTCGTGGTGGCGTCCTTGTCGTGTCCTGTCGTGGTGCGTCGTCGTGGTGGCGTACCGTGGTGGCGTCCTTGTCGTGGTGGGCGTCCTTGTCGTGGTGGCGTCCTTGCCGTGATGGCGTCCTTGTGGTGGCGTCCTTGCATTTGTCTCATCCTTGCCCTTGAGATAGCGGTGGTGATAGCATGGGCGGGGCTCTCAAAGTGCCGCCGTCTGGTCGTGGCCACCGCACTGCGGCCACCCGAGGCTACCAGCTGATGTTTGTTGTTTTTGTTGTTAAGTCAGCTGATGTTTGTTTAGCTGTTGTTAGTTAGCTGATGTTTGTTTAGCTGTTGTCAGTTAGCTGATGTTTGTCTAGCTGTTGTTAGTTAGCTGATGTTTGTTTAGCTGTTGTTAGTTAGCTGATGTTTGTTTAGCTGATGTTTGTTTAGCTGTTGTTAGTTAGCTGATGTTTGTTTAGCTGTTGTCAGTTAGCTGATGTTTGTTTATCATTTGAAAGTCATATCGGCTGATGTTTGTTTATGTTATTCAAGTTAGGTGGCTCGTCTTCCGGTGTTTATTTACCTTCATTGAGTTGAGAGAAAGTTAAGGAGGTAATACTGAGGCGAAAACGAGAAATTTGAAAGAAAATGAAATGAAAGAGATGAAAGAGATGAAAGTGGAAAGATGATGTGATAGAAAATGGGAGAGTGGGCCTTTGATTATTTATTTATTTATTTATTTTAATGGAGATTAGCCCACCCGGTCACAGGTCACTGAACCACATCGGAACCTGGGGGAAGGAGGGAAGCGAAAAAAAAAGACAATGGAAAAATAAAACAGATCAAGAGTGAGAAAAGTTATATATGTTGTGTTGTCAAAGTAAGAGAAACAATTGAGACCCTGAAATTGTGTGTAAATGAGGCAGAAAGTCAGATCAGCATCTGGGACGTCGTCACAATTTTCGTGATGCCATATGGCAGCAGGGTCTACCATTAGACAACACATGATGCTTCCAATATCTTCCCAGGTGGGAGTACCTCCCTGCTTGGTAGCTGCCTACTGCCTACTATTTGGTTAAATTAAATAAAAATGTATTTATCCAGAGTGAAGTGTGTGTGTGGGGGAGATATAGAGAGAGAAAAAATTCACAAAGTTTTGTAATCCCAGGATGACTCCATTTTATGTTGTAATGCCGGCGACCACCCTGGGGGAAAAGACCTCGGGCGATGCAGGAGATAGGTCGTGCTGCTGATGATACAGAGTGGGTCGGTGGATCGTGCAGCTGATGGTACAGAGTGGGTCGGTGGGTCGTGCAGCTGATGGTACGGAGTGGGTCGGTGGATCGTGCTGCTGATGGTACAGAGTGGGTCATGCTGCTGATGGTACAGAGTGGGTCGGTGGGTCGTGCAGCTGATGGTACAGAGTGGGTCGTGCAGCTCGTGGTACAGTGGTGGTCGGTGGGTCGTGCAGTTGATGTTAGAGTGGGTCGTGCAGCTAATGGTACAGAGTGGGTCGGTGGGTCGTGCAGTTGATGTTACAGAGTAGGTCGTGCAGCTCGTGGTACAGTGGTGGTCGGTGGGTCGTGCAGTTGAAGTTAGAGTGGGTCATGCAGCTGCTGGTACAGAGTGGGTTGTGTAGCTGGTGGTACAGAGAAGGTCGGGGAGTTGGTGATACAGAGTGGGTCGTGCAGGTGGCGGTGTAGTGAGTCGTGCAGCTGGTGGTACAGAGTGGGTCGATGGGTTGTGCGGCTGGTGGTACAGACCTAGTCGTGCAGCTGGTGGTACAGAGTGGGTCGTACAGCTGATGGTACAGAGTGGGTCGTGCAGCTAATGGTAACAGAGTGGGTCGTGCAGCTGATGGTACAGTGGGGTCGTGCAAGTAATGGTACAGACTGGGTCGGGCAGCAGGTGGTACAGAGTGGGTCATGGTACAGTGGGTCGTGCAGCAGGTGGTACAGACTGGGTAGGTGGTACAGAGTGGGTCGTGCAGCAGGTGGTACAGAGTGGGTCGTGCAGCAGGTGGTACAGACTGGGTCGTGCAGATGATGGTACAGAGTGGGTCGTGCAGCAGGTTGTACAGAGTGGGTCGTGCAGCAGGTGGTACAAGTGGGTCGTGCAGCAGGTGGTACAGAGTGGGTCGTGCAGCTGATGGTACAGAGTGGGTCATGCTGCTGATGGTACAGAGTGGGTCGGTGGGTCGTGCCGTTGATGTTACAGAGTGGGTCGGCAGGTGGTACTGACTTGGTCGTGCAGATGATGGTACAGAGTGGGTCGTGCAGCAGGTGGTACAGTGGGTCGTGCAGCAGAGTGGGTCGTGCAGCAGGTGGAACACTGGGTCGTGCAGATGATGCTTGGGTCGTGCAGCAGGTGGTACAGAGTGGGTCGTGCAGCAGGTGGAACAGACTGGGTCGTGCAGATGATGGTACAGACTGGGTCGTGCAGATGATGGTACAGTGGGTCGTGCAGCAGGTGGAACAGACTGGGTCGTGCAGATGATGGTGAGTGGGTCGTGCAGGTGGTACAGACTGGGTCGTGCAGATGATGGTACAGAGTGGGTCGTGCAGCAGGTGGTACAGACTGGGTCGTGCAGATGATGGTACAGAGTGGGTCGTGCAGCAGGTGGTACAGACTGGGTCGTGCAGATGATGGTACAGAGTGGGTCGTGCAGCAGGTGGTACAGACTGGGTCGTGCAGATGATGGTACAGAGTGGGTCGTGCAGCAGGTGGTACAGACTGGGTCGTGCAGATGATGGTACAGAGTGGGTCGTGCAGCAGGTGGTACAGACTGGGTCGTGCAGATGATGGTACAGAGTGGGTCGTGCAGCACAGACTGGGTCGTGCAGATGATGGTACAGAGTGGGTCGTGCAGCAGGTGGTACAGACTGGGTCGTGCAGATGATGGTACAGAGTGGGTCGTGCAGCAGGTGGTACAGACTGGGTCGTGCAGATGATGGTACAGAGTGGGTCGTGCAGCAGGTGGTACAGACTGGGTCGTGCAGATGATGGTACAGAGTTGGTCGTGCTCCTTTATCCCGGTGCAAAAGTTGTACCTGGTGACCTGTTAAAAGTGGTGAGAGGTTGCCATGGTAACACTGAGTCATTGTTGTGAGAAAATTAGTATTCTCTTCCCTCTCGTTTTCCCCTTTTCCTCCTCTCCCTTCCTTTTCCCTTCTTTCTCATCTTCTTACCGTCTTCTTTTATCTAACTTCTTTTTCTTGTTTCTCTTTTCTTCCTCCCCGTTTGACCTCTCTTTTCCCTCTCCCCTGTGTGACCTCTCTGTCCCCCTCCCTATATGACCTCTCTTTCCTCCCTCCCCATGTGACCTCTCGTCATCATCTGTGACCCCTCTATCCATTATCTTCCCTACTCTCTCTAATTTCCCCTTCCTACTCCTCCGTTCTTCTCCTCTCGTATTCTCTTCTCCCCTCACGCTCTCTATTACCCTAATCTTATCTCTTGGTGCTATTGATTGGAGGTTGGTATTTTGTGAGAGAGAGAGAGAGAGAGAGAGAGAGAGAGAGAGAGAGTGAGTCTACGGTGTTTGTATGCCACGTTTCAGTATGTTTATTATGCCCCGCCGCCTTCATTACCCTCTCAGGTGGAGGGATATAGAAAATATGTTTACCGTCCATGTGTCTGTTTCTCTGAATATTGAACGAAACTTTAAGACGCGATGATTAATTTATTCTTTTCGTTTATTATTTTTGTTGATATTAAATGTTAATTGTTTTTATGTTTTAGTGATATTTATTCATGATATTGTTTATTATAATGAGTTCTTTTGACGTTATTATTCGTATTTTGTATTGTATTGCATTTTAATATATTGTATTTTATTGTATTGTATTTGTAGTATAATATATTGTATTGTAATATTTTATTGTATTTTTATTTTGTGTTATGTGAGTTGTGGTTAGGTGATTTGTAATGTGTTTTGGTGTTGAGACATAAATCACTCTCATTATTACTCAGAACATGTCATTGATCTGAGACGAAGAGTAAATCAAATCGACACACACACATGGGACAACCAGACAGACAGACAGGAACCAGACAGACAGGAACCAGACAGACAGGTACCAGACAGGCAACCCGTCATATCCAGTCGATGAGATTTCCATTAAGATCACCTGAGAGTATCTGGCCCTCCCACCTGGCCCTCAGCAGCCCCCGTGGACCTCTTTCTCGTCTGGCCCTCTCAAACATTTGGCCCACTCACCCTCACCTAGCCTTCTTCCACATCTGGCCTACTCACCCTCACCTGTCTCAACCCCCCCCCCACACCCGGCCCCTCTCCCACATATGGCCCGTTCACTCCACTTGTCTCTCAACCCCCCACCTGGCCTTTTTCAACCCCACCTGGCCCTTTCTTTCAACACCCCACCTGGCCCTAATCAACCCCACATGGCCCCTTTCAACCTCCACCTGGTTCTCTCACGCTCACCTGGCCCTATCCCTACCATGGCACCAGGGGCCCATCACACCAGGAGTCACCACATCAGGGGCCCATCACACCAGCAGCTCACCACATCAGGGGCCCATCAAACCAGGTCACCACACAGGGCCTATCACACCAGCAGCTCATCACATCAGGGCCCATCAGGAGGTCACCACATCAGGGGCCCATCACAGGAGGTCACACATCAGGGGCCCATCACACAGGTCACCACATCAGGGTCCATCACACCAGGAGCTCACCACATCAGGTGGTCCATCACACCAGGAGGTCACCACAGCAGGGACCATCACACAAGGTCACCACAGCAGGGCCCATCACCCAGGAGCTCACCACATTAGGGCCCATCACACCAGGTGCTTACCACATTAGCAGCCCGTCACACCAGGAGCTCACCACATCAGGGGCCATCACCAGGCGCTCACCACATCAGCCTCATCACACCAGGAGCTCATCACACCAGGAGCTCACTCACCACCAGGTGCTCATCACACCAGGAGCTCACCACATCAGGGGCCCATCACATCAGCGGCCCATCACACCAGGTGCTCACCACATCAGGGGCCGATCACACCAGGAGGTCACCAAGTCAGAGTCCATCACACCAGGAGCTCACCACATCAGGGGCCCATCACACCAGGAGGTCACCACATCAGGGGCCCATCACACCAGGAGCTCACCACATCAGGGGCCCATTACAGCTCAGGCCCATCACATCAGGGGCCCATCACACCAGGAGCTCACCACACCAGGTGCTCATCACACCAGGAGCTCACTCACATCAGCCCATCACATCAGGGGCCCATCACACCAGGAGCCACCACACCAGGTGCGCATCACACCAGGAGCCTCACCACATCAGGGGCCCATCACATCAGCCCATCACACCAGGTGCTCACCACATCAGGGGCCGATCACACCAGGAGCTCACTACACCAGGGGCCCATCACACCAGGAGGTCACCATCAGGGGCCCATCACATCAGGGCCCATCACACGAGGAGCTCACCACACCACGTGCTCATCACACCAGGAGCTCACCACATCATGGGCCCATCATACCAGGAGCTCACCACCATCAGGGGTCACCACATCAGGGGCCCATCGCACAAGTAGGTCACCACAGCAGGGCCCATCACACCAGGTGCTCACCACATCGGGGGCCCATCTAACCAACAGACCCCACGACCCAGAGCCCAGTCAGCCGTGACTGGAGCGCCATTATAATTATTTCGGTTAACCAGAAGGACGAGACGAGTGATGGATCACCTCACTCACTCTCCACACACCCAATTTTTAAGGCCACAATATTGTACCGGGTTTCTCTCTCTCTCTCTCTCTCTCTCTCTCTCTCTCTCTCTCTCTCTCTCTCTCTCTCTCTCTCTCAGGGTGGTAAGGCTTATGGACGTAAAGTCACTATGTGTACTAGTGTGGCGTATGATGGTCTCTCTGTGTTGGGTATATAGAGGAGCCACGTATATATTTTGCCAGTCATTAGTATGGACGGCGGGGAATTTCCAACACTTACTGGGGAAATTCCCAACGTGTGGTGGGGAATTCCCAATGGCCGAGGAGGAGGAAGGGCGTGTATTCCCGTCTGCCCTCGTGATGGGCCTGAAACAAGGGAGTAGGAGCTGCTAGGGACTGTCCCTTTACTGATACTCTACCGACTCGGTCCCTCCTGAGTTAGGGAGCTTGTTAGGGAGTCGAGACAGACAGACAAACAGATTTATACAGACATACGGACAGACAAACAGATATATACAGACATACGGACAGACAAACAGATATATACAGACATACGGACAGACAAACAGATATATACAGACATACGGACAGACAAACAGATATATCCAGACATTCGGACAGACAAACAGATATATCCAGACATTCGGACAGACAAACAGATATATCCAGACATTCGGACAGACAAACAGATATATCCAGACATTCGGACAGACAAACAGATTTATACAGACATACGGACAGACAAACAGATATATACAGACAGATAATTATAAATAGACAGATACAAACAAAGGGATCGATGCAGACGGACAGACAGACACATTCCGACAGGACAGACAGACAGACAAGAGTCTTAAGTCGTTTCTCCACAACAAGTAAACTACACTCGCAGTATTTCTGTATATCAGTCTCCTAATGTTTATAAACTGCCGTCTTTACATAAACTGCCCCTCTGTCACCCCCAAGTTTCCTACACCATTCTTTTCAGCATAAATTTTCACACCGTGGGCTTCCCGCTGTTTATGGAATGCTTCTTTAGCCTACAAAACAACCTAATGTTTACAAACTATCGTCCACACATACACTAATTCTTTCTCGACTTGCAAAACGTCCATCAGTGTAGTTTTCATAATGAACTTTCAAACTGTGAGGTCTATACGTACAAACTGCCTCTTTACCTTACATAATACCCAACTGTCAGTTCACTAATGTTTACAAACTGGCATTATAGCCAACCGTCTCGTGAACATCCAGTACTACCACTTTCCTTGTAAATTTCCAAACAGCGGTACCTGAGCCAGGTATGAAGTGTCCCTATGGTAAAAATTTCCATACTAGTGTGTCGTAAACTGGTAAACTGCTCTCACTTCATCTTGATAACTGCCGGGTGCCGCTCTCTTGACGCTTTCCTGGCACCCACGCTAAACAACTTGTATGCCAATGACTTTTAATTAACTTTATTCATCACCAACATTTACATGGAAATTACGAGAGAGAGAGATTGAAGAGATTTGTGTTGTAAATAAGTGTTTTTTCTGTAATGTTTATGTGAACGTTTACGTGAATGTTAAGTCATCATTCTGTATACATGATTAAATTCACACTTGTACACATAATTACCTACAGTGGCATCAGTGGCCATTACTATTTTAATCTTTATACTTTATTTTATTTTTCTTGTAATATAATTGTAATATTCGCTGTGTTATAGAGTTTGTTGTTCTGGTATAAATCATATTGAGTCTTGCATTTGTTCCCGGATGTTAAGTGTTCACGGAGATATGTTTAGTGTTCAGGGAGATATGTTTAGTGTTCAGGGAGATATGTTTAGTGTTCAGGGAGATTTGTTAAGTGTTCAAGGAGATATGTTAAGTGTTCAGGGAGATATGTTAAGTGTTCAGGGAGATATGTTAAGTGTTCAGGGAGATATGTTTAGTGTTCAGGGAGATTTGTTAAGTGTTCAAGGAGATATGTTAAGTGTTCAGGGAGATTTGTTAAGTGTTCAGGGAGATATGTTAAGTGTTCAGGGAGATATGTTTAATGTTCAGGGAGATATAATTAATGTTCAGGGAGATATGTTAAGTGTTTAGGGAGATATGTTAAGTGTTCACGGAGATATGTTTAGTGTTCAGGGAGATTTGTTAAGTGTTTAGGGAGATATGTTAAGTGTTCAGGGAGATATGTTAACTGTTCAGGGAGATATGTTAAGTGTTCAGGGAGATATGTTTAGTGTTCAGGGAGATTTGTTAAGTGTTCAGGGATATATATGTTGTGTGTTCAGGGCGATTTATTAAGTATTCAGGGAGTTTGTTAAGTGTTCAGGGAGATTCGTTAAGTGTTCAGGGAGATTCGTTAGTTGTTCAGGGAGTTTGTTAAGTGTTCAGGGAGATATGTTTAGTGTTCAGGGAGATATGTTTAGTGTTCAGGGAGATTTAATAAGTGTTCAGGGAGATATGTTTAGTGTTCAGGGAGATATGTTTAGTGTTCAGGGAGTTTTGACAAGTGTTCAGGGAGTTTTGACAAGTGTTCAGGGAGTTTTGACAAGTGTTCAGGGAGTATTGGTCGTAACTGTACACATATTAGCAGTCATTACGGGCGGGTGTGGTTGTGGCGGGTGATGTATTCAGTTGTTTACATACAGTGTGTTCTGTGGGCCATTACAGCACCAGGCAATAAGTGGGTGACCCGGACCAGCGTGGGTATTGTATATTTGAATTGATTTAATTTTACCATTTTGTATTATTATTATTATTATTATTATTATTATTATTATTATTATTATTATTATTATTATTATTATTGCTATTATTATTACCACCGTATATATTTTTGTTGCTAATAATTCACTTATATATTATTAGCAACACAACCATAATCACCGACTAATTGTCCCATATTACAAGCATAACCACCCCACCACCACAACCACACCACAACCACCACAAGCCGCCACCACATAGCCACCCACCATACTACCACAACCCACAGCCACCCACCACCCAACCACCCACAGCCCCCACCACCCACCACCCCCAGCCACCACAACCACACTACCACAACCACCCCACTACACAACCACCCACCACCACAACCACACCACCACCACAACCACCCACCCACAACCCACCACACCACCATACCACCATCCAGCCACCCAACCCCACTACCCCACCACCACCACAACACCCCTACCACAACCACTACAACCACCCACCACCACAACCACCCACCACCACAACCACCTACATACCCCACCACCACAGCCACACAACCACCCACTACCCACCACCACACACACCACCCCACCACCACAACCACCCACCACCATACACCCACCATCACAACCACCACCCCACTACCACAACCACCCCACCACCACACCACCACAACCACCCACCACCACAACCACCCAACACACCACCCACCACCACACCACCCACCACACTACCACCACCACCACACCACCCACCACCACAACCACCCACCACACCACAACCACCCACTACCACAACCATCCACAGCCACCCACCCACCTACCATCCACCACCACCACCCACCACCACACCACCCACACCACACCATCATCACAACCACCACAACCACCCATTACCCACATAACCACCACCACCACAACCACACACCACAACCACCACCACCACCCACCCACCACACACCCACCACCATAGCCACCACACACCATCACAGCCACCTACAACCTCCCACCACCACAACCACCCCACCACCACAACCACCCACCACCACAACCACCACAACCACCCCACCACACACAACCACCCCACACACCACAACCACCCACACACCACAGCCACCCACACCACCACATCCACCACAACCACCCACCACCACAACCACCCACCCACCACAACCACCCACCACCACAACCACCCCACAACCACCCATTACCACAAGCATAACCACCCACCACCCACCACAACACCCCACCTCCCACAACCACACCACCACAACCACCCACCACCACAACCCACAACCACCCACCACCACAACCACCCACCACCACAACCACCCACCACCACAACCACCCACCCCCACCACCCACCACCCACCACCACACCACAACCATAACCCCCCACCACAACCATAACCACCCACCACCACAACCACCACCACAGCCACCCATAACCACAACCACCCACCACCACAACCACCCTGCATTACAACCCCCCCACAACCACAACCCCTACCACAGCCATCCACCACCACAACCTCACTATTACACCCACCCCAACCGTAACCACCCACCACACACTCCCCACACCACCCACCCCACCACCACAACCACCACCATCCACAACTCCCACCACAACCACCCCCACCACAACCACCACCACCACAACCATCCACCACCACAACCCCCACCATTACAACCACCACAACCCCACATTACACCCACCACAACCATCCACCACACAACCACCCACCACCATCAGCCACCCACCACCCACCACAACCCACCACAACCCCCACCCAGCACACAACCCACACCACACACCATCCATTAACCCACCACACCCCACCATTAAGCCACCCACCACCCATTACCCACCACAACCATCCACCACCACAACCCCCACCCAACCCACCACAACCACACATCACACAACCCCATAACTACAACCCCTACCACCACACACATCACAAACCATTACTTACCATTACCCCACACAACCATAATCCACCATTTTCCACACCACCAACCCACCACCATCTCCACACAGCCACACATCCACCCACTAACAATATAAATCCCTCACCACGGGTCATCTAATTGGCCCACCCTTCTCTTCTCTTTCTCTCTCATCTCTTCCTTTTCCTTACAACTTGACTGTCTCACAAATTTTACCTCATGTCAAGTCATTCTGCATTACCTGGCTCGCATCTCTCT